GTTGGGAGGGCCCCCCCCCCCCCAAAGGGTCTCAATTATTCTTTGCACAAGAGAGTCACTCTTGTAAAGACAGCCCTCGTAGCCCTGCAAAGCAGTGACTGAGAAGAAGGTTTCCCTTAGGCTGAGTGTTCAAATACCCTTTGGAGTGTACCATTCATTTTGGGAACTGGCTTCAGCCTCTGCACTTCATCTTCCCCACCAATAAAACAACAATACTGATCTTCCTCCCTCTCACGCATGTTGCAAGGCTTAATTAGCCATCATTTGTACACAGCTTGGGAAGATGCAACATTGCATAAGCACACAGAGGATTATTCCGAGTTACGTTAATGCTGCATTGCATCGTCACTGAACACCCACAGTTGCCTACTTGGATTGCTCCGAAGCTTTGGAAGTGAAAAATGACGAAAACAGTTGGCACTGATTTTTCTCCTCTTTTTTTTTTTAAACCTTCCTTTTAAAAAAAAAACAAAAGACTACAGGGAAATCAGTGGCAAGGACAGTGGCATCAGACAGGCAGCAACTGCAGCTCTAAAAAGACTTCTCCTGCCTACATCTTCATATGGCCCCATTACCAGAAAAAGACTGCTGCCAGCAGTACCCTGGCAAGTACCACCCAGCATGAGTCGATTTAGCCTAAAGCAGCCGGACGAGATCGCTGCCCAGAGGCAGCAAGGCTTTGCACTCTCCTCCCTCCCGCTGTCTGCCCACACACAGCAAGAGATCATCTACACGCCTCCAGGTTCGACTGCCTCATCCCGTAGCGGAGCCAACTGTGCTTCAACTGTCTTCATGTACTGCCGGCCATTTCAGAGAGCAATGGGGATGAGGAGACTGCGTAGGTGGGGAAGTTGTTAGCAGCGTGTCAGGGCAGGTTTGTTTTGTGTGCTAAATCAGGAGGACTAGAGAGGATGGGGTGGGGAAGGACCGGGGATGTAAAATAAAAGCACCTCTCAAACTTGCTAGAACAAGCAAGTTTCTTAGGAACAACACGTCCTCCTCCCCGCCCCCATCTCAGCATCTTCCTGCAGTGGCACCGCAATACCAAAATCACCAAGCAAAGTACCTGCAGCAGGGCATGGGGCGCGATCTCCACCACCACTGCGTTCTCCGGAACGTGCTGCAGACCCTCCTGGAATAGCACAGGGCTCCTCAGGTTGTTGACATGATACTCCGCGGAGGAGTAGCGCGCCAGCTCACTGTCCCACTGGGCCTCAGGGATGGATGTACTGATCCAACGAGCTGAGCGAGGCTTTGGGTTTGGAATGATCTGTGAACAGGCCAAGAAACAGATGTCACGGAAGACAAGGACCCTCCGGGAACCAAGCCCCAAAACATTAGTTTGCAGGAAAGCAAACAGCACTGTAGCACGTTCTGCCTGTGAACTCAGCCCCCCCACCCCGCCGATCTGCCAGGAGGCACAGACCTTCCAGCTGCCCCTTCCACAGACATCTACAGGACCCTCCTTCCCCCTGGATGCTGGACAAAGCACGGCCATTCCCCGCGACTGGCAGCTTTGGTGGCACAAGACACCCAGGACATTACCTTCCGCAGGACACTAAGCAACATTGGGGCAAGCGCCTCCATGAAATACGAATGAAATGCGACCCCGACACTGCGCACTTCCTTAGCGAACACACCTTCCTTCTTCAGGGTGGCTAGAAACTCATTCATGGTGGCCTAGGGAAGGAGACAGAGCAAACCCTGTTCACTTGATGGCCGCTCCACAGCCCTGCAACTGCAATGCAGTTTGATCAGCCACTCTGAAAGGCCTCTCAAGTGTTCATATTCAGATGAATGCCAAAGTCCATCCCACCATGCTGACTTAGCCTGATCTCCCTTCTTATGCACCTAGGGGTCAACCCAGTGCAGTGCCAGCAACAAAGGCTCCCCCATAACAGCACCTATACATGTCAGAGCAGCCTTGCTACACGTTGTAATTACAGCATGTCAGAGCAGACTCGATTTAACACGCTCCAGTGTCACATGCATCAGCATCCCCATGCTGAAAAATGGTGGCAGGGGTGCTTTAACTAATTTAACGCTTGTTGAATGAGATTTAAAAGCACCCCCCACTGCCATTTTTCAGTGTGGAAACACTGATATGTGCAAAACTCCAGGTGCTTTCATTAGAGCAACTCTTGGAGCCACTCTAATTAAAGCATGACCCCACCCCACCGGAGCACATGTAGAAATGCCCAGAGAGTCCCAGCTGATCACCATAGGAAAATAAGGACTTTTCTTAGGAGGGTTGACCACTGTACGTTAGATCTTTGCTCACCTCTGGCCCCGAGATAGTGACAGTGTCCTCAGCGTTGTGACAGGCAGGCACCACGCCTGGAGGGCAGCGGATCTTACATTCCTTCCATGACAGACCTGCAGAGGAAAGATGCTCAGAATGGCGTGCAAGTGCTCCAGGTACAAGTTAAGCAGCAGCCCATGACAAAAAGGACAGCTGGTTCTCCAAAGACATGGTGTGAGAGGGGAGGCCCAAGCTCCTCACTGCAGGGATTCTTGCTGCCAGTCACCTGCTGGGCCTGAGATTCTAGGACAAGGTCCTGCCAAGGAATTGTGTACGCTCTTTACCCAAGGGTATTATGATGTGCACTGATACTACGGCGGTCAGCGGCATGACAGGGACTACCAGGAAGAAGAAACTTCATTCCAAAATTCTGGGGTTGACAAGTCCACAACAGCCCTCTCCACTAATACCCAAGTCAGAGTGAGCCGTGTGATGTCTCGAAAGCCCAATGGATCCCACCAGAGGTCAGATTCTGAGATATTAAAAGGGAGGGACGGCATGAAGTTCAAATTCAAACCCTGACTGCAAAATCCGGCTGATGGCAGCGTGAGTGTCTGTGCCTCAAGTCATTTAAAAAACAAACTTGTTGAAAGAAAATTTCAGAGACGTTTGGGCTGGAAGGGACCTCGGAAGATCATCGAGTCCAGCCCCCCGCCCCAGGGGCAGGAAGTCAGCTGGGGTCATGGGATCCCAGCAAGATAAGTATCCAAATTTCTCTTGAAAGTGTTCAGTGTAGGTGCTTGAACCACCCTGGGGCCTGCGCTGTTCAATTTCTTCATCAGCGATCTGGATGATGGGGTGGAAAGTAACCTGTTTAAATTTGCTGATGACACCAAAATTTGGGGGGAGGTGAGCACACTAGCAGGGAGGGAGAGATTGCAGAGGGATCTGGATAGGTTACAGGGGTGGGCTAACAGGAACAGGATGCGTTTCAATACGGACAAGTGCAGGGTGCTGCACTTGGGCAGTAGGAACCAGCAGCACACTTACACAATGGGGAACTCCCTACTTGAGAGCACGGAGGCAGAAAGAG